AAAGGGCACATATGGAATGAAAAATATGAAATATTCTTTCAAATGGATTTATGAGAATTCTAAGGTGGTGAGTTCCACCACAAATTGTAAATTCCTAGGGAAAACCCAACTTTGTTGCCAAAGATACCAAACAGATGGTTGCTATACTGTCTTCCAGCCAGGAGGGCCGTGCTAGATTATTATTATTGCTTCTGAATGAATTTTAACAATAATAATTACTGCACTATATACTGAGTGCATTAAGTTTTTGACATTGTTTTAAGCATTGTATATATATATTATGTTAATGCTCGCAGCAAGGCTATGTAAATATTCTTCTTCTTCAAAAAAAAGGAACTGAGCCACAGAGAAGTTATATAATTTGCCCAAGATAACACAGTTAATAAGCGATAGACCCATGACAATCTGGCTCCTCATAACTATCCTAAAACATTGATTACCTACTATGTGCCAGAAGATATTGAGGAAACAAAAACTCAGTCAATTTGGTCATAACACACTCTTTATTTGAAGGGTTACCTATATGGAAAGGAATCTGTCGTCATAACTCTTAATCCATAATGGCAAATTCATAAGACACTAATGCTATGAAATCTATAGTTCAAAGTAGCAAAGGATACTCATTGTGCAAGCCATATAAAAGTGCATAAAATTTAAGGATTATTGTTACTAGGCTGTCGAAAGTTTCAGTAAAGTTTAAGAGAAATAGTGAAATGACAGAAAATACGAAATATACAATATTTGCCGCAGCACATAGATCGCTTGTAGATAAATAACTACAGTATGATATGGCTAACTAAATAATTATAATACAATTTATTTCCAGTAATAATTCCCAATTAAGTAATCGCATTTTATTAATAACCACAACTCTAAAGTTGGCAAAATTATGGCAAAGCTATTGCATTCATTCTCTGGTGATGGTGTAAACTTGCTCGAGTCTTTGGGGAGGCAATTGTTGAAACATCTGTATCTTTTGACCACTAATTGCATTTGAGATGAGTATCCTACAGAAACAATTCAAAAGAAGAAACCAATATATGCAGAGAGATGTTCAATGTTAAAATAGGCAAAAACAGAAAACATTTTCCTCTTGGGTATTTAAATTTGAGCAAATTTAATAATTATCTTGTTAACTATCAGGTAACCACCAAATATTACAAAACTTATATAATATGGAAAAATACAATGCTATAAAAGTAAAATAAATAAAACTTATTCATAATTCTATAAAAACTATACTGTATATGCACAAACTATAAGGAACAAAAATAATTAAACAAATCTTTTGTTAGTATGGCAAAACTGAAGTTGATTTCTAATTAATACTATTCTAACAAATGTTCTATTCTATTTGTTAGTAAAAGAAAACATGCTAGCCCAAACAGTAAAATTAGAAAAACAAAGCTATAAAATTGGAATGACAAAGGTTTGGGTTCTGTTAGGCAAACTAAAGAACATTTAGGGGAGATATTTATAAATTTATAGTCTATGCTATACAGCTACCATATACTACAAAAATAACCAAAGTCTATATGGTATTTTGCCAAATACAATTATTCCCACCCCATCTTTCCCTACCAATCTTGTTGAGAATCTCTGTGGTAATAAGCCACTACTACTGTTGGAAGCATCTTCTTATTTCTCGGGTATTACGACAAAAAAATAGTTGAGAACCACTATCTTTGTTAAGATACAGAAAGCAGACATGGGTGAATAGGCCTAGCTTTCAAAACACTGTATTTACATCTCTTCTTGTTGAAAAAGGTTTTTAATCACTTTACTACCATTGCCAAAATGCCAAGAAAGAAAAATAAGCATCGCTAAACATACTTTAAAGTGAAAATCAATACACCAGTTAAAAGACTGTCAACAAGAATGAAAAGACATATATAATAAATATATATTTATTTATGATTATATATTTATAATCTAAAATAACATGTAAAATAATTACAATTATTGATGGCATTAAAGATTGACAAATTTCCTCAGTTTTCTTTCTTTTTTATTTTCTTTCAGACAGGGTCTCACTCTGTTGCTTGGGGTAGAGTGCAGTGGCATGATTATAGCTCACTGCAACCTCAAACGCCCGGGGCTCAAGTGATCCTCCTGCCTCAACCTCTCAAGCAGCTGGGACTACAGGCACATGCTACCATGCCCAGCTAATTTTTCTATTTTTTGTAGAGATGGAGTCTCCCTATGTTGCTCAGGCTGGTCTCCAATTCCTGGCCTCAAGCGATCCTTCCACCTTGGCCTCCCAGGGTGCTAGGATTTCTGGCATGAGCCAACGCGCCTGGCCCAAATTTCCTCAGTTTTCTATGAAACTATACCATACTGTAACTTTTTGACCTTGAGAAACATAACAAAGGAAATAAATGTTTTGTGGGGTTTTCCCTTAGATATAAATAGGTGACTGCTATCCTACTATCTAAATATTAAAAATTACATAAAAAGAACATGCAGCATTTTAGACAAGTTTTTAGCCTGGAGGAATAGGTGTGAATATAAGATAACCACAAATACTAAATTAAACTACTGACTACAACAATACAAAGTAGGTTGTTCTTAGGATAAATTTTAATTGTAACAAATACTATACGTATTTGTTTTTATAAGGATCAGCTGAATTATCAATTATTGTTATTCACTGGGTTTTAAACAAGGGAGTTCCTGGTGAAAATTTGGTTTTAAATAAGGGCAACTTCAACTACTTTGTCTTCTCTAATGACATTTCAATAGTAATAAAGAGAAAGAAATGCCAGCTTATAGACATATTTCATACTGGAAGGAAGACCATGAAGACAAAATGAGTGGAAATAATACACGGTGAGACTGTTTACCTGACAAAACAATTCACCAGCATAGAACATATATATCATTAAAACCCGAGTTTTCCAAAATATAAAAATTTTGGTAGAAAAAAGTACACGATTTCTTGAAATAGTTAATGCTAGCTATAGGCAGCAAATGTTTGATGTACAGCATATCATTTTTAAATGATACTCACATAGCTTCCAAATCCTGAATACCAACAAAAAGCACCCCCCACTTATTTGTTAAAAAGCTGACATAACCATTTATGCTATTAGTTTAAAAATAAGAAACAAATACTCCAAATAAAAAAGCAAATGCAGGAATTTCTGGATTATGTATTTAATAGATAATAATACAGTGCCCCAAATATGAAATAAACATTCTAATAAGGGATTTCCAAGAAATGCAATCAGATCTCCAAATTATGTACCTTAAATACACACAAAAAAGTCCCTAAGAGCTCCATCCTTATTGACAATCATAATACAAAACACCTAAGTTACAGATTACCACAATATCATATTTTAAATTTTTAAAATTTAATAGCAATAACATCCTCTCAAAGCAAGATTAAATACATTTTAGGAAGGCAGTACACACATCACTGCAAACTTGGAAGATTCAAATTATTTTACAAAGACTACGACTCTTAACTATTACTCAATTATTGATGACCTTAAAGATCTTAAGATTAAGAATCTTAAGATTCTTAATTCCTGACCTGCAGAGGAGTATACTTTACAAAGATGTTCCTACAGTTTTGAAAAAAGTGTTTACAGTGAATTTCTCAAGTGAGTGAAACAAATTTAAATTCAAGATAAAATTGCTACTGTGTTTGCATTTTTAAGGCACTTAATCTTGTAGGGTTGACTTTTTAACAAGCTTTTATAAAGTCATACCTTCATAATTTTGGTGCAATATACCAAGGCTACATGGCTATTTAAAGATTACGCCTAGAAAGGCTATTACTGACAATGGCAATGTCAGTGGTTATATATTTCTTAAAATAGGACTAAAAGTATGCTCAGAGGAAGTCAGTTTTTGTTCTGATTTCAAATATATACATTAAATGTATGCATAGTTACCAGATTCATAATTTAAAACCCCTAAGAAATTGTAACTTTCACGTATAATTTAGGGATTAGTCAATAGGCCTAAAGTCCACCGAGAGTAAGCTCTTCTACTCCATCATATTCACAGGAGTTTTGCTCTTGCTTCACCAGTTTTAAGACTCCCCATTAAAGAAAGACAATTTTGTACTAACTAGGGGCATAAAAATAGTCCCCAGCTCCTCCTCTCTCTCCCTCCCCCTATCTTCGGTTCAACGAACGAGCATAGAAAACACACATACACACACATACAAACACTCTCTCTCTTCCCCCGCCCATATCGGCTCTAGTCTCTAGGGCATTGATAAAAAGCAAATTATTTCCCTACAGAAGGTCTGCTGTCCTCCCAGGCAGGTAAAAAATAGGAGAAAATACCGGAATCAATCTGCACGCACACCTCAGCCCCGCCCCACGGGGAAAAAGTGGGGGGTGGCGGGAGTATAAGGGTGGCAGAAAGGACAGAAAGGGCCGAGACTTCCAGCTCCCAGGTTCTCCCTACCATTCGTTCCATCAGGTTCCTTCCACACAAGCCAGGGACACTGACCCTATTTTCAGGCGCGCCTCCCGATTCTCCTCCCCGCCACCATCACAAACACATGGTCCTCAACCGCTTGAGTCCTGGGTGGGGACACCAGAACGGACCTCTCCCTACCCAATCCAAGGGCTGGGGTCGGGGGGAAGGTCTCCCCGCGCACACTGCGGACTCGATGTGCGCCCCAGGGACCTCTGAACTGACCCGAGAAGGGAAAGATAATTCGGAGGGAGGGGTCTAAGAAAGCCGTTATTCCTTTTTTCCTCTTCCTTAGGAAAGCGCGCGAGAGGGAGGGGCCGGAACAACGAACGCTAGTTACCTAACGGTCCGGCCCAGCCGGTCAGGCTCCAGAAGCCGAGGGCTGCGGAGGTGGCAGCACAGCCACAGTTGCCCCGAGGGCTAGGGACCGCGGCAGGAGCGCCCGAGGTGATGGGAAGCGGGGGGTGGGGACTATGGTGACCGACGTCGCCATGTTAGCGCCTTCTTTCTCCGTATCCCTACAGTCTCCAGTCCTGCGGCCCTCTGCCCATCACTACACTCACCTTTCCAGGTCACTAGTTCATGATCCTTCTGGTTGCCTGGGAGCCCCGAACACAGCCGTGTTTACAAACTAGCCCTGGAGGAAAGGGCTGAACCGCACTTTAAAGGCCACGGGCTCCCACAGGCTTCCGTCCTCTCTCGCGAGAGCGGACTGACAACCCTTCTCCCCGCCCCACTCCCGGCATCCCCCCATTCTTCTCGCGCCCCTCCCCTCCGCGCACACGCCCCTTCTTGCCTTCCTTCAGAGGGAGCGCCTCCGGGTCAGGTGATTCCGTCAGGCCTAAGGAAGGAGACGGGTTTTCAAGAGGCGGGGATAGAGAGGGCGGAAACCCAAGAACACTCGGGCGCTGATGATTGGGCAAAGAGCCCGAAGGGCGGGAAGCAGTCCTGGATGGGGCGGGACCAGAAAGCTAAAGGAACGTTGGCTCTGTAACCCGGGAGCTGCAGAAGGCTGTGATTGGCAGCCGGCTGGAGGCTGGCGTAGGTGCTGGTTCGCGGGGGGAAGTGGCGGTGTGAAGGAAGGAAAAGTGAGCTCTGCAAAGGCTGCTAGTGGATGGAGGGAAAGCAGGATAAGTCCTCCAACCCCAGCCTCAGAAGCCCGGCATCTCCGTTGCCGTCACTTCTCAGCCTTGAGTAGAGAGGTGGGTAAAGTGTAGGGTGTTTACCCACACTCCGGCTATCCGAAAGCCTGAGAGGTGAGCTTGCGGTAAGGTGAGGTTTGGGGGAAGAGGAGTTTGCTGGTAATTAACCACCCCCTCTCCCGCCAAAACCACTACACGTCTAAAGAGGGAAAGCGAGATAAGTCAGTTTTGAAAAAAGAAAAGGCCTATTCTCTGAATGGATTTTGTTCTCATTTTACTAAGTTGTAACTGGAACTGATTCTTCGGGCTTCTTTAACCCAGCGGCTAGTACTGTGTATGATATTAGCATATAATCACGTACGAAGAAACTTACCAAAAGGAAATACAGTATCTTCCGCTATATCATCATAATTTAAAACAGTACAACTTGTTTCTAAGAGAAACTCCTCCATATTATTGTGTATTCCATTTATCAGTTTCCCTTTACTTATTTATAGATAAAAATTATTCATTCATTCATTTAGACAAGGTCTTGCTCTGTCGCTGGCTAGAGTGCAGTGGCGTCATCATAGCTCACTGCAACCTCAAACTCTTAGGCTCAAGCGATCCTCCTGCCTGAGCATCCCGAGTGGCTGGGACTACAGGTGCACGTCACCACGCATGGCTAATTTTTCTATTTTTTGTAGAGATGGGGTCTCGCTCTTGCTCAGGCTGGTCTCAAGCTCCTGGCCTCAAGCAATCCTCCTGCCTCAGCCTCCCAAAGTGCTAGATGTGAGCCAGCGCTCCCAGCTAAAAATATATTAATTTTAATAGAGATAATCTCAGCCCTTATAAAACTTCAGCAATCTGGTATTAACATTTTAGAGAGGACCAAAGGACACCAAATTAGAATATGACATAGAAACAGCATTTTTCCCACAATACTATTCTGCTTAGTAGGTCTTTGCAGTGCTAAAGCAATGTCTGTCAAGTCTGAAAGTAGCTTTTAAAAAAGGGGGGACGAAAAGATCGTTTGGTTAATTTAAAATGACGACAAAGGAGACCATTTTTATAGCACTGCTATTGACAAAGGTGCACTCTCCAAAACACAGTACAGTGCTGAAAATATTTCATCTTAATGTTGCTTTATGATTCTCTATACAACTTAAAAATTTCAATGTTAACTGTAGAAATACTGGTTGTTCAGTAAGTAGACAGGCCCAAGTTGAAAAGTATGATCAGGGAGGCCTCTGTGAAAATTTGAATTAACTATTAAAAAAAAAAGAGAGAATGCCTTATGTTTTTCCATGTACTAAATGCTGATTTCTAGTTTGTTACAAAATTGTGAATCAGTTTACATATTAACATAAAATGCACTCTATATTACACTCTATGTTGTTGGAAGGTTGTGGGGGATAGTGTTTGAGAGTTAATGAAACTGCATGCAGTTCCATAATGATATCTGGCATAAAGGTGAAACTGTAATGGCATTGGACCTTTTAACAGGTTTCTGGCCTGTATACATGTATGTGAGCCAACTCAATCCTCTTTTAAAAGTAATTTTAATTACTTAAGATACCTGAAAGTAGCCAAATTGTTAACACTGTTTATTTCTTAAATTAAAATGAAAGTACCATCCCTTTATAATAACATTGTAGTATTGTTAGTGTAACACTAATTATGTCAATACAACCTCACATCTCAGATTACTGATGATGGACTAAATGTGTGATTGACAGATGATAATTGTTAGCTCTAGAAAACATTCACAAAAATGATGCTTCTCTTTCCATTCCCCAAAACATCTAATGTGAGAAGAAAAACTATAACTGTTATATAGCATTTTAAAAGAAGCTTGGGTCAATTAGAGTTGATTTCTTTAAATAATTATTTTTCCATTCACATACATTAAAAATATGAAATTCTTTTCTCTAATTTTGATTCCTTTTCAATTGCCAGTAGCTTTGGTTTTAAATTTCTCCTCGTTTTTCCTTCTCCACTCTGTTGTCAAGCAGTTAATTATCTACATAATGCACTAGAGGAACATGTTATTTTAAAGACATTCTTTCAAGAGTTTTTTTAGACAAGAGAAGAATCATTTAGTAATATGGATAGTACTCTGATATGTTTTGAGAATTCATTTTAGCTAATTTTCTAAACAGAAGGTATACCTAAAGTGAGAAAAAGCCTAAGATTAGGGGGAAAAAACAGGTGGAAACTATGTAGATCTGTTATATATGTATCTTGGCAATCTGGCAGTTAACAAAGGGCCTCACTTTGCACACTTATAGTTCCACAACAATTCCTTTATTATAGCTTTCCTACAAATGGGGAAAACATTCAGCGTAGCCAGAATGAATGTAGTTACTATTTTCAATTCTGGTCCCATGAACTGGTAAGTCTCACTATTTATCCATATCCTCATAAAATGCTATGTTTTCAATTTTCTTTCTCACTTCCTCATTCCTCAATATCCCCAAGAGTCCTAAAGTTCTTTACAGTCTTCTCTACCAATGCAGGAAACTTCTTCTGGACCCCTTCTTTGCTTGTCTTATTGTTCCATAAATGCTTCTATCCAACTTATTTCCAGGCAAATTAGTGAGGGTCTAGTGAATCTCCTTTAAGAACCCAGCATGACTTGTGAATAAAACTAGTGTCCCTTAGATACCAAAAGAGGCTATTTGAAGAAAACTCATTTCTGTTACAAAGTGCCCATTATTACTAAATACCACAAGAATCAGTGGTCACCTTTAAATGCTCTCAAAACCTTCCAAATGCCACAGAATGTGGTATTTCCACCTTGTATAGGGCTATTAATCCATTAATCTGTTACTACTCACAAAAATTCTACTAAAACCCTGCCCAACTATATATATGTATATATATATTATATATATTTCTCATTTTTGTGTGTGATATGTGTGTGTAAAATACTTCCAAACAAGGTAGAAATAACCACATTCTGTGTGTGTGAGAGAGAGGGAGGGAAGGAGAAATAATTATTTTTAAAAACATATTTTCTGTTTGTAGCTAAACAAAACATAGAATACTCCAGGGCACCTCTTCTGTCTGCTTTGCACAACTAGTCCTGGACTCAGTGAAAGACCCTCCACATTTTCATGGTATCCTCAAGATGCAGCCCAGTACAGTGGATTAGCTGAAATTTTACCAGCAGGATCAAGGTGTATGTGTGATGTGAAAGGGATGAGGGAAGCAGGGTATGATTAGCTATCTGATATCTGAGAGATGACGTGAGGATAGCATGGCCCTAGACATTGTAGTTGACTTTTTGATATCTTCTGTCTATCAAATCCTTTTCTCCCTCTGACAGCACAGGGTTTTCCTGCACATTGCTGAAATGGCCTATGTTATAGTTACCTCTCGGCACCTATCCTCATGGAAATTTCCCTTCAGAACATTTCAAGTGCAAGGATGTCCACCCTCCAACCCAAATCCTTGGTTTTCTGAAAGAATTTGTATTAATGGAGTGTGGCTTTGTGGGGAAAAATTAGAGGGCTACGTTTATTTTCAAATCATACCAATTAGTTTATACCAATTTCAATGAGACCAGCTCAGAGAGAGAGAATGGAATTTAAGGGTCTTGTTTTCATTCTTGATACCAATGCCTCATCTTATCTTCTATCTGACTCACTAGAAAGAGGGATGCCATCATTATGTTCTGCTCTTTACACACTATTATCAATAAAAGTAGATTGGACCACTCCTAGTGTAGAGGTTTGTCTGGCAGTCCAATGTCTACTCTTCATGGCTCCCCATAACAAGTCTACTTTTCAACCTGAGGCCCATATAATACCAAAGCCATGCAATCCTTATGCCAGAAACTGAGAGAGGTCTCTCTGGTCATAGAGACCCTTCTAGGTCCTTCGACTAACACTGTGCTCTTTTCACTTACTGTCTTACCTTGGATACAGCCTTTTAGGTTAACTGTGGCTAACTAGGTCAATTATAAACTGAATGCTGTCTCTTTACTCATAAAGCATCTGTATTTATTGAGCATGAACATTCCAGGCACTGTTCCTGGTTCTGAGGCTACAACTGTAAATAAGACAGAGTCCCTTAAAGGAGACTTTCATGGTGGGGTGGCAGGAAGACACACTACATATGTAAACAATAAGATAATTTAAATAGCAGTAAGTACTAGAAAATAGAGCAGGGGTGTGATAACATGCAATATTATAAGCTTGCTTTCTAAACACTTTAGAGAACTTGAGAGTAACAGACGTTGTAGATAGATCTAGAGAGGCTGGAAAGTTCTGTGAGCTGTCCTTTAGATACAAGTCTTGAGGGAACAACCTGAGTTGTCTAGCAGCTGAGAGACTCAGCCAACCTATGTAGCTATTTGAGGAAGCAAACCCTGGGACTCAACTATAAGAGAAGATCCTGGAATCTCCATGGCTGGGACATGTTGACCAGAAGATGTTGCAAAGCAGCCACCGCCAACAACCTGGGTCCTCTTAGGCGTCTCTGCCAAGATCAGTTATAGGATGCTAGCGTGTGCTAGTAATAGGAACCACCAAAAACCCTTGG